GTGACGTATAACAACTGAAAACCCATGTCTGACGCTATTCTGAAATTTAAAGCGTTCCGATTACAGAAAACAGAAATATACTATTAAATAACCCGCAATATATGTATCTTTGGAATCGGGGTGATGTGTTTGAACCGAAAATCTATATATGATGCCATTTTGACATCAAAGATGGTGGCTTCCGTTTACAGAAAAACAGAAAAATACTGTCAATAACCCAACAATATGGGTATGTTTGGAATCGGAGTGACATGAGGGACCGGTAATACATGCCATCGTGGATCAAAATGGTGACAGATGTTGATTTCCGGTCCCTATACGTCACCCCGATCCCAATAATATCCATATTGTGGGGTATTTGGCAGAATTCCCAAGCATTTCTCTAAACGCAAGAAACCATCTTGAATTTCAAAATGACATCAGATATGAATTTTCGGTCCCTACACATCACTCCAATTCCAAAAAATACCTATATTTTTGGATATTTGAATGAATTTACGAGTTTTTCCGATTTCGGAAGCCACCATGTTGAATTTCAAAATAACGTCAGACATCGATTTCCGGTTCCTACACGTCACTCCGGTTTCAAAAACACCCATGTTTGGTAGAATTTTAAAGTTTATTTTTAACCAGAAACCGCCCACTTGGATAACAAAATAATCATAATAAGACAATAACAGACATGAATTTCCGGTACCTACACGTTACTTCAATTTCAAAAATACCCATATTGTGAGGTATTTGACAGAATTTCCAAGTTTTTCTGTAACCGGAAGCCGCCATCCTGGATTTCAAAATAACGTCAAACATCTATTCCTGGTTCCTACACGTCACGCCGATTCCAAAAATACTCATATTGTGGATTATTTGACAGAATTTCCCAGTTTTTCTGTAATCTTGAATTTCAAAATGGCGTTAGACATGGATTTCCGCTTCATACACGTCACGCCGATTCCAAAAATATACATATTGTGGAGTATTTGACAGAAAATTCAAATTTTCTGTAACCGGAAGCCACCATCTTGGATATCAAAATGGTGACAGACATGAATTTCCGGTTCCTACACGTCACTCCGATTCCAAAAATACCCATAATGTGGGGTATTTGACAGAACTTCCAATTTTTTCTGTAACCGGAAGCCGCCATATTGAATTTCAAAATGGCGTCAGACATGGATTTCCGCTTCCTACACGTCACGCCGATTTCAAAAATAACCCATAGTGTAAGGTATTTGACAGAATTTCCAAGTTTGTCTGCAACCTGAAGCCACCATCTTGGATATCAAAATGGTGACAGACATGAATTTCCAGTACCTAAACGTCACCCCGATACCAAAATATCTATATTGTGGGGTATTTTACAGTATTTCCCACCCAAGTAACATTACAAGTTTTATCATAGTTTTAAAGCATTCTACAAGTCCAAATCATGGTCTAAAGAACCTTCGTAAAACCCAAATTGTTGCTTGGGCAGTGTCCTAAAAACGCAAAAAAAAATCGTCATTAGGAATTTACTTCGTATAAAAAGAGACGTTAACTGAATACTGCGTAAAAAAAAGACTCCGTACTCGAAGGTTTCAGTGTATTCAGATTTGAACATAAAATCGGATCATCGCTGTGAAACGTATCATGCCACGCATCTTTTCCGCAGCATAAAACAGCTGCGCATACAATTATGCATTGTACCTACATCATTCTCTTTTGAGTTTGTCTGAATCGCTGCAGATTTCATTTAACAATCTTCAATATCGCATTTAACGCCTTTAGAAGTAAACTCGTATTTGACAGACATTTGTGTCTGTGTGATGAAGCGCAAACTGAACGCAAGTGACAGGATCTTCAAGAAACCAACTCAAATGTGGCTCTGGATTTACTCATAGTGACGAGATATTAAACATTTTGTTGAAAGAAAATAATCCATGAGTCCTACATATAGATACTTCTTCTTCTACACATTTCAAGCTTATTGCTTATTAGCATATTAGCATATTAGCGAAGACAACATATCAAGAAGACTGGCAACTCTTCCATATTCTCATACAAAAGCTATACGCTATACAATCGCTTCATCTGCCGCTCAAAGGTAAATGCTTCGAACGAATTTGATAGCAAAGATTACATTCTCCGAAGAAAGGTTTGTGTATTTGCTCTTTTTTCTATGCGATGCTTCCACCTTCACTCAAACGCAGCGCTATTGTATCTGTCGCTTGGATTCTGGCAAAGTTGTCAGTCGTCTTGATTTGAAGTCTTCGATATTAGCTTATAGCGTGCTCTCTCTTAGTGCTATACTAGATTCACTGCCACATTTAGTAATTGAGAGATTTCGATGCCTGTACAATTTTTGCATTAGTATAATTGAGTGGCAAGTACAATCATACTTTAAGCCCAGAGTGGTCGAGAAATTTACCAAAACGATAAAAATCCTAGACCGGACCGAGAATCGAACCCAGCCACCTCCAGCATGGGCTTACTTTGTAGCTGCGCCTTTACCGACTGAGCTAAAGGGCCCTTTGGATGCTTAAATTTCTCAAATTCGATCACTACAGACTAGAAGTCGTCTTCTTTCTTTTTTTTAGCTTTATTGCGTCACTGCTGGGACTTTACGCCGGCGCTAGACTTAGTGTGCTTTGAGTAGTTCCACAGTTGTTATTTAAGAGCTTTCAAAGTTTGCTCTATTTTTACATTATAGCGAATGCGATTCTTGATAAAATATACTCTGTAAAATGTATTTCAAATGAAAGGCGAAATTAAAAAAATTTCATTTCACCATAACCACATAACCAGTCAGTGGCAAAAATTATGATCTTCTCTGCCAATTTTTTTTTTTTAATGAGGTTTATAAATTTTTTTTTATAATTAATCTCATTTTTTTCATCGAAATAAACTAAAATTATAACAGTGTTTATTTTTTTTACATAATTGTCAAATTAATATCTACAACTTTGCTCAAGACAGATTATCAATCGAACAAACCGTTTATATAGTATTTATATTTTAACTCATTAGTACTGTTTTTACACAGGCTCTGCGTAAAAGTAATCATTACCCAGTATGAAGAATTTATACATACAATTATACGCCACCCAAGAACAGAAAAAAATAAACCAACTTAATTAATTTTTGTTGTTGCTTAAACAAAATTTAAACTAAATGGACTTAAGTTGGCTAATAGTATACATTTTTTGAAGTACTTACAGTATTTTTTCTTCAATATAAATAATAAATCGAAGATGGCAGCACTGCGTCTTTCTACCTCTGCTTCGCGTGTAGTGCTCTACGGCTAACAGTCCCAACGCCGCAAATATCAACCTAAAACAAAATTGATTGTTTCAGTAATCTCGATAAGAAAATCAATAGAAATACGTACGGAAAATGAAAAATATAAAATTTTGGGTAAATGGGACGCTATTTTAGAAAAATCTATTTTTTCACCAAAAGTCTAAAATTGCTTACCAAAATTGCAATTTTTTATTAATCAAAAAGTTCATACGTACTTCTGTAGATAATCCATTAAGAAATGAAACCAGAAAATTTCACTCAAATTAATTCAAATTATGCAATTTTATAGTGTCAGCCGTTTGTAAAAATGTTGTTTTGAGAAAAACGCGGTTAAACGTCGAGGTACCGATTATTTGTAAAAATAAGTGCATGTATGAAGATTGTCCCTTTTTCTTAACAATTTAAAGTACATTTCGATTTTTTGAAATTTCTAGGGTGGCGTAACCCCTTAAAACAAGCAACTGTGCAAAATTTCAGCTAAATTTAAAACGATCGTTCTGGATCGATTCGCGAGCCTTCGTGGATGGCCTCTTTAGTATAGGCTTAAAATCCTTTTAAAAAAGAAAAAAAAACTAAACCAGATCGGGTATTGAACCCAGTCGCCTCCAGCATGGTCTTGCTTTATAGCTACGCCTTCAACGACAGAGCTAAACTCTAAATGAAGCACACTTTATTAGTAACACTTAGGCCAGCATTAGGGACAGCATCCCTATTTCATACACGTAAAACAAATTTCGCTTACATCTAATGTAAGGTTGGATTTTTTACCTTCTCTGCAAATGTTTCATACAGCAAATGTAATGGCAGTTCTTGCAATGGACTACAGGGTACAAGCATTTTTTTCCAGGATGCATGTATAAAACCTTCACGAGATGATTTTCTAGACGTAATGCTTTTGGGGAAACAAACTTTGTTCGAAAAATAAGCTTTCATAAAAATTACAAAATTATTTTAAAAACCTTCCGGTGTCCACATTACAGAATCTGTTTTTGTCACGTAACATTGAAACTTTCCATGCAAATCTGTAATAGAATCTACATTTTCCGGTTGGGTGTAGAAATTCATATCCCACTATTGATTTAGAGCCAAATTAACCAATTTAGATTGATTCTTTCATCGGCTGAAAGGCTCAAGGTATGCCAGCCTATGTACCATGCTCGACTGTGTGGAGCCTTCCGGGAACACCATTTCTAAATATATCTCCAACAGGCTTCCCTCCCAGCAACCGAAAAAACCAACCATCTAAGCATGCAAGCAACGCTTCCATCTATACTTCTTCCTCATCCACGTTGAGCAGACCAAGGAACCACGTACAATTACGGTCGCTATCATTTATTTTTCTTGACCTATTGACTACCGCGTGTGTTCAGTAAGGTTCTTTTATTCGCACTCAGTCTCGCGTAGCTTACTTCTTAAGAAGGAACCCTACCTGATGCCATGCATATTATCAGTTATGCTTCAGCACGCGGCTTCGTCCAACGACAACAGCGGTATTCGTATTCCCTTCGGAGCAGATCGGTTTATTATGCTACATGCCGTTCGGTTTTGTTGCGCAACATAAACACAGTAGCATCTGGCCCGAACGGGGGGTCCCCATTTACTCGATGAAGGAAATACAATGTTCTTATGCTGCTGCCTGCCTACATACCTACATTGCACATTCGTTCCTGGGTGCTGCTGTTTTGTATGGATCATTCTATCGCAGATGGTTAACGATAGGCGGCATTTTCAGTCGTTCTTTAGACGCCGATACGTGTGGAAGTGTTTTCGTTTTAAATCGGAGGACGAAATTTGGAAGTTTGGATTTTCGCTGAAATTGTGGGATGTTTGCGAAATTTTCTGATAGCAGAGTGAGTCAACTGTGACAACGAAACGTGGCTTAGTTCTGACTGGTATTAGATTTTATGGGCATTCTCCGCATGTATTTTGCGTGCCGCGTCGCGTTTTAATTGGGTACAGCTAAATTTAGAGGAAAATGAAGATTTACTATCGCTGCGAAGAGATGTGCGAATTGGAATATTGATCTGCTGTTTGGTTGCTCGGTGGTTCTATATTTTCACGATCCCGTGATACTTTTCCGCTTTGGCCTCGACGGCCTACATTGAATCGGGAGGTGTGCGTTGTATGTATGCTTGTCTGCCAGTCGACTCCCGTGAAACACCAGACCAGATCAAACCAAGCTACGGAAAACAGACGAGGAAAATCTTCATCCCAGCTGTTTGGGGTTCACTCTCTGGCAGGCATGGTAGGAGAGCATAGAAGAAAACTCAGAAAATGTGAATTGCGTGGCGAATAGAATTGATATAAATTTTAGCTCGTGTGTGCATTGTTGGTGTTGGTGGAAGCGTCGAAGTATAATAATAGTGAAAATCGACGGAAATTTGTTTTGATAAATTGTGCTATTCAGCAGCTTGTTGTATTTTGTGACTTGGTGTATGTCGAAGAAAAATAAGTAAAAATTCAAAAAGGCCAAAATTTAATCAAAAAGTGTGTACTGTCGGAGCAAAATTTTGTAGAATCTCTGCACGAAGTGCGGTAGCAGAGGAAGCCGTCAGTGAGTTTGTTGGTGTATTAAAAATAGCTAGCGTGAGCTCACACATCGTGGTGAAAAACAAGTGAATGTTTACACAGCTTTGACCGTGCACGTGTGAACATATCGACACGACATCCCGTCACCGGATTCCCAGTTTCGTTTGCTTGAGAAAGGCGGTGGGAGAAGATTCACGCAATCACAATTCCACGGATTTGCACCCACCTGAGGACGCGCCACCGTACTGCCTAACTGCTACTCTTCTTCACTGTTCCATTACACTTGTGAAGATCGCCGTCAGCACGCAGAGCAACACAAACATGGATAAACTCAGCACCGTAAAAATTGGATTATTCTGTTTACTTTTTGGAGGTGAGATATGAACTTTTTTTTACGTAGTCCGGTTCTCGTTTCTACATAGAAGAGGCCCAAGCATATTCGTGTTCGGAAGGAATGATTTGCCCAGTATTCACTGTGGGACAATGGATTCCAAACAATGAATATTAATGTGATTGTTTTTGCACGCGAATTTGTTTGTTTGTGGATTGGAAAATACTTCACAGATAATGGTTTCCGGGCTCGCTGTTTGCTTACATGATCATTTTTATAAAAGAAGTATTAATTCAAAGTAGCCATATCGCTCTTCCGCATGTGTGATATTGTTGCACCACTGCGGAAATTGAAAAAAGACCAACAATTTTCGAAGCGAAATTAAACATATTATATGTAATCATTAAGGAGTCGCACTGAAAATAAAATTTTGTTTATACAACGAAATCACTCGTTTGTTCTACGAATCCATTCGTTGTTTTCTGCAACGAAATAGATTCGTACTTGTTATGAAGCAAGTTTCATTAAGAATGCCTGAATCGCATCTGACTTTATGTCTTATTGAGAACAAATGATTAAATACTAATTTTCGTGTTAGTACAAAAAAAAGTACGAAACCTTAATAAACTCAAAATAGAAATTTCGTGCATTGTACGAAAATAATAGAAAGGGCCATGAAAATTTTGTTAAAATTATAAATTGTATTTTTGGTTATCGCTGCAGGTACGAAGGTATTTCGTACAAACGTGCTTCTACTTTTAAGTATCATAAATTTTAGCCCTTCGCATTATCGACGAGAACACAATCATACTCATACCAATGGGTCTTGAGAAATTACTTTACCTAGAAGGCAGTCAGCTTGAACTCCCTCCATGAAGAATAATTTAACTCCATTAGCACCATTGCCCTGTAATCCCATCTCCAACATCAAATTGGCGGTTCCACCTTCCCGGATGGCTGTAAAACCAACTATCTCATACCCACTAAAGCAGTCTTGTAGTCTTATCAGTATAACTCGCACTAGCAAAAATATGAGTGGTCACCTGGGAGGACAACAACAGCAGCAGAATGTTTTATAACACGAAAAACATAAGACATTACCGCCATCAGCAACAGGAGCACCACAAAATGGGAATGAATACTTTAGTAGGCAAAAAGAGCAGTGCAGTGATCTACACGAAATTCATTTTGCGTAATAAAGAAATAATGCGTAATATTTGCATTGTGTCAGATGACAGGTAATACTAATGTTTCGTAAAATTTACGATAAATGTGTTTTATCTATGAAACCCATTTTTGTCAAACGAACTTAACACAATTAACGAAAAAAAAATTATGTCAGTGCGCTTTTGGATCGCGACAGGTTTTCATTTTTATAAACACTAAGATAGCCTATAAGATTTTTCAAGCGTTGATAGACGTGAGCGCAAATAACGGACTCAATTATCTGAAGGTTCAAGGTTCGAGTCCAGTCTGATCTATTTTATAATACTATTCAGGCTTCACATGAGCGGCACCGGTGGTGTAGTGGTAAGCGTGATTACCTCTCACCCCAGCAGGCCTGGGTTCAATCCCAGTCGGCGCCGTCGGGATGTTCTGAGGCAGGGAAGTAAAGCCGTTGGTCCCCGGTTCATGAGTTGATGGGTCGATAGGTAGCGTCCAGGTGTGGGAGCTGCCTCTCTGGTGTCGGTAGCATTGGTGCTCAGCACGGAAAACAAGATCGACGGAAAACAAACCAAAGGAAAAAAAAAGATCATCCCCTTGTCGAAGTCCTTGGCGTGTTTCAAACGAGTTCGAAAACGCACTCAATTTCACACAGCATTGTACACCATCTACCATGAACAGAGTCTGGTCAGTTTTTCAGGAAAACATTTCTTGTGCATAATTTTCCATAGCCTTCGCGACCGTTGAGAATAGTGGTCGCTCGGTAGTTCTCACAGTCTAACTTGTCGCTCTGTTTGTATGTTAGGAATGTTGCTCCCTCTTTGTTCATTGTAGTGCTGCTTTCACCCTTCGATCACCTCACGTTCATCCGTCACGATACCTCCATCCTTATTCCAATATATTTCAGCTCGCGGCACAAAGCCTTTGCGGGATGCGGTGAGTATCTTATTGAAATGACGCTTCACTTGAGAACGATGCAGTTGTTCCATTACTTCTCATGCTAACTCTCACAGGCAGTGCTTCTTAATCTAACACTCTTCGTCGAACCAGTCGTTTCATGTATTCACCTCCACTCAAATCCAATGGGACCTTCTGTTGTGCTGTTGATGGCTGCTTTGACCCTACTCCAGCAGTGACCTAGTGTTTTCCGTCGGTGGTGTAGTGGTAAGCGTGATTACCTCTCACCCCAGCAGGCCTGGGTTCAATACCAGTCTGCGCCGCCGGGATGTTCTGAGGCATAACATCTCTGATCACGCCTTCCTTCGGATGGGAAGTAAAGCCGTTGGTCCCCGGTTCAAGAGTTGATGGGTCGATAGGTAGGGTTCCAGGTGTGGGAGCTGCCTTCATGGCACGTCGGTAGCATTGGTGCTCAGCACGGAAAACAAGATCGACGGAAAAAAACAAACCAAAGGAAAAAAAAAAAATCTACAGTCAGCCTTTCGATCTATGTCAGTCTACACGGCGAATGAGAACGACCCAAATTGAAGTTTAGCTTATTCATAAATCATATAAAGTGCAGGAACTCAGCGATGAGTTAATTTGCCTCTTGTTTTTCCAGGTTACGCTGGAATAATTTCCCGAATATGCTAAAAGTAAAGATTGGATTCACTAAGTCTATTGGTATTACTCCTAGACTGAGTCAAATTTTCGTAAGTTTTCATCATTTGCCGGCAGATTTTAGAGGTTTCCACCGAAAAAAAAAAATGAGACACATTTACTCATCGCTGAGTTCCTGCACTTTTGGCGATTATGGGTAAACTTAACTCAAATTTGAGTCGTTCTCATTCACTGTCTACCTAGGCGTTATAGAAATGATGCGTTAAACACGTTGTTCGAAAAAAAAACATAACTTGAGTTCATTTTAGAGGTTCAAAATGTATTTGAGCTTGATCGGCTGAGCATGTAAAGAGTTTGAGCAGTTATAGTAAATCGATTCTTATTTGACTACCTTTTTTAAAATACTTATTTATAACAAGGAACCAAATGAACGGTGACTTGTTAATTGGTAGTTAAAATATGATTATTTAAATCGGTGCAAAATTAACTAATTAAAGCCATCCATGAGTTGATGGGTCAATTGGTAGTGTACAGGTATGGGAGCTGCCTCCCTGGTTTCGGCAGCATTGGTACACTGATAATAATTATCATATAGCTTCCATTGGAAACGCACATGATTTGCATCCATAATCGAAATTGATGGCATTCATCTAAATTTCACAAAACATTAATGCGATCACATGAATTTTGTATGATTTTTCAAATGAATTTCATCGGCCTCATAATATTTATTTGATGTTGTACTGGGATTTGTATTTATGTGATTTCAGGAGAGCTATGTGAAACTCACATGGATTTCATACATTATATATGTAATAATTTGTTTAAGTGTCCTGAGTACTAAAAAAAGATCGACGAAAAAAAAAAACAAAAAAAAATTGAGCATAAATTTTGGTAAATTTTGGAATAAATCAAGGAATTTTTAACTTTTTTCGTTGTGGATCGATTTCAGTACATTTTAAACGGATTAAAAAAATATCTTTGGACAAGACACGAAAAAAAACTTTGCTCATTTAATTCATTGTGCTTCAAGAAAAAAAAATTAAAAATGGTAGTCATATAAGAATTGTGCTACTAAAACTACGCAAACTTCGTACATAGTCAGCCAATCAGGCTCAAAACATTACCAATAAATCTCATATATGATCCACCAGTTATTTAAATTTCAGAAATATTGACGAGCAGATAGCTACAGCGCTTTGAATTTGTTTCAAGGGACAAACAAATAACAGTGTATAATTTATTATTGCCAGTACTGTATTGGTAAGATAATTCAAGCTGAACATTGCATTAGGTCCTAAGTAACATTGACAGATTCTCTTCGTCGACTTAGTCTTTGTAGCCCAACGGCAAATAAAGACATTCCCAGGTATTTTCAGCACACAGATCAATAAGAAAGCTTTTATCTAGTATCTAATACGACAAACACAACAAGAAACGGTTATGTGCTCAAGAGAATCGATCAATGTTACTTAGGATCTAATGCAATGTTCAGCTTGAATTGTTATCTCAAAATTGATCGTAAACCCTAGAGGACAATTTATTAAAACATTATGAATACATATATTTTTCTTTCAGCGGCACCGGTGGTGTAGTGATAAACGTGATTACCTTTCACCCTAGCATGCCTGGGTTCAATTCCAGTCAGCGCCGCCGGGATGTTCTGAGACATAACATCTCTGATCACGCCTTTCTTCGGAAGGGAAGTAAACAGGTTGTAGCTTCTCAAAACTTTTATCGGTAGTTATCGGTAGTTATCCCGAAACTTAAAACCTTTGTTTTGCGGCGGAAGGATGAAAACAAATCACGCGAAATTTTGAACTTTCGAACCGAGCCATCAGTCCTTCAACCTCACACCAGGGTTACTTCCACTCACTTGCTATAAAACAATGTTTTTCGGAATTATGAAATCATGAAATAGTATAATGGTCATTAGTACTTGTAAGTTACAAGAAGAGGTCATGAAGTATATGTTTGACACATAAAACAATCAGCGATTTTACGACTCGTGAGCGCTCACTCTGAGTGAACGCTCACGAATCACAAGATCGCTGAATGTGACGCTTTGAAAGCGAAATTGATAGGTTTTATAAATCAAACACATTCTTTACACCCTCTTCTTGTTACTTACAAGTACAACATATCATTATAACATCTAATGATTGCATAATTCAGAAAAATATATTTTTTATAGCAAGTGAGTGGAAGCAACCCTGCCTCACACATTGGATTGTCTAATCTAGAGTCGGTGTATAATTAGTCACGTCAAGAGTGAAGTCAAGTCTACCTATTGAACTGTCAAACCGGCTACCTATCGTGCA